GGGATTTATTCTTTGGAATGTGCTGGCTTTGCCCTGATACTCCCTTCATTTTTTCACCCCTTGATGTTTTATCCCATCCACCGAAGCCTTTGGCTCAACCATGGCCCCATCAGGTTTTTGGTGATGGGAAGCAGTGATGCAGTGCCCTTTCCTCATCCCCAAAACCTCCCGATTCTAAGTTCTAGCAGCTGCTCTTCGTAGTGTCAGGAGAAAAGCCCAAATTCCATTTTGTGGCTGAGGCTGAAGTAATGCCCAATCCTTCCCCCACTTGCAGGTTTCCAGCAAGAAGAGCCTGAGTCTGAAGGAGCTGTCGGAGGAGCCGGACTCTGTGTCACTGGTGAGGGTCAGGGCAGCTCTGGGAGAGGGACAGACCCCCTGATGTTGTGCTGTGGGTGGAGAGGGACTGCCTGGCCTCMCTGGGGGGTTTGACACTCTCTGGTGGCTGTTGGAAGAGTTGGGGGAGCTGGTTCTGGTGTTGGTGCCATCAAAGGCTGTGCAAGGACACGCCTGTCACTGCTACAGCTCGTCCTCTGGGACCCTCATCCCAGGCTTGGCAGGAGCAGATGGGTCAGRAGGGCTTGGCTGAGCACTCCTTCTGTTTAGAGATGGAAAAACTTCAGAGCGAGGTGGGAAATGCTGCTCTGCTCCCCGAGGGCCGATGCTGTTCATGGCTGGGAATGGGGATAACAGGCTGGGAATGTCATTGAGTTACCCAGAAATCTGTGGGATGGGTAGGATGGCTGAAGAGGGAAACACCTGCCGAACCATGGCGTGACCCAGGGAGCATGGGGGGGCTGCATCCTGCACTTTGGAGCAAGGTGCCCTCCATGGCTGGTGATCCTGAGCCTCGGGCTGGTGCAGGAGGTGCCAGTTGGGGTGCACRAGGAGGTGATGGATGGGTGGGATGTTACCCATGGTCTGCTGGCATCCCAGGCGTTACAGATTAATTTCAAGGGATTGAACTGGGAGTGATCCAGGCTGATCCAGCAGCATCTCCTGGTGCTTTGGTGGGATGCAGCCCTTTGSCAGCTCCAGCCCYGGGTACTCTCTGTTGTGGGAGTCCYTCTCCGTGCCAGCTGCCACCCTGCTTGATTTGGTGCATTTTTGGGGTACTTTTGTGCCCTTTTTGGGGCATGCTGGCTAATTCCAGGTGGCTGCCATGAACTTCAAGGGGTGGAGGAGGCAGCAGTTGGTATTTGGGGCAGGCGTGGGGTGCATGGGCAGGTCCTTCTGTGGCAGGAGGAACCTGCATTGGCATGGAGCCATCACAGAGGACCAGCTTTCCCTCGGAATGATGTTTTGCATGTGCTGGTGCTCCATGGAGATGCTGCCAGGTTTGAGTTTGAATCTGGCCACACCATATCCTTGGCACTGCTGGTTTCATTCACGCCTCACCGGGACTGTTCCCACAGGAGGTGATCGTCCCTGAGGGCAAGTGGAGGAAGGTGTCACCTGCCTCACTGTCACTGTCACTGCCAGATGCCAACTACCAGTGCATCCACCGGACCTCTGTCAGCAGCCTGAGTGCCAAGGAGAGCTCCTTCACCTCTGAGGAGCCCCTGGTTTCAGGTGAGGGACACAGGTTTGTGCCTTGCTCCACGTGGTTCTGGGTGATAACCTCTGTAAAAGTGTTCATCCATCCTCTGCTCTCGTGGAGGGGCATTCTTCCTTGCAGATTAGGCTGGGAGTCAGCCATGGAGTCCTGGGGATGGGATGGGCTCTCCTAGCTGGAGGGTCTGAGCCCTGGAGGGAGGAATATTTGATGTTTTCCGATTASTGGAGAAGCAGGAGCATACCCCAAGCGTGGCTGTGCCACTTACTCTGGGTTTGCCTTTCAGAAAGTGCAATAAACACCGAGGAGGAGCTGGAGGTGGAGCAGAGCTGTGTGGCAGAGCTGAGACCCTCTGATTACCAGCTCCTGAAGATCTTCATTGTGCTGTGAGTGTGCCGGGGGCRCGGGGAGGCGTGGGGGGACACTGGGAATGTCAGTCTCAGTCTCAGCTGAGCATTTGGCTTGTTTCTCTGCTCCCAGCATCTGCCTCCTGGTGGTGTCCTCRTCGTACCTGGCGTTCCGCATCTTCCGTCTGGAGCAGCAGCTCTGCTCCCTGAACCGGGATTACCTCTCCCGCGGCCACAGGAGGTGAGGGACCCTCGAGGGGCACGCAGGTCATGCCATGAGTGAGTGAGGACTGAGGGATGGGTCGGCTCTGTGATGTGCCTAAGGAATGCTTTGTCCCTTATCCCGTGCCTGCTGGTGGGCTGGCCAGTGACAGAGCCCACAGTGCCATCTCCACACCRGGGCCGATCCCATCAGCTGCTGGTTTGAGTCACTGTGGAAAGCTCTGAGACTCTGGAGCTTGGCAAGGTTTCCTCATTGCTTTGGGGCTGGTTCTTCAGTTGTATGAAGCACCAGGACATCTCGCTGRGAGCTGGGCTGTGTCCGGGGGCTGAGGCCATGGGCATCAGCATGGGATGGACAGGAGCGGGATCTCCTTGGGCTGAGGACATCAGAGGGCACCGGGATGGGCCACGGAGCCTCTGCAGTCATTCATCCCATCTCACCCCCTTCCCTGCTTGCAGGTGACCGTTCCCCTGGTGCTGGCTGAGGATGGACCCTGAAGTGGTGACACACTGCCCATGGACCCCGGCGCTGCGTCCTCCCAACCGTAGCTGTTACACGTGGCCTGGCTTTACCTTGGCCGGTAAAATGGGACCAAGTATTTTCTCTCTTCCTACGGGCACTTGCTCCTGGTGGGATTTTCCAGCCAGTTCCTGGTCACCAGTGCCAACTCCCCATCCCACTGGAAACCCATTTTCTCCCTGGGACAYTGCAGTGCTGTAGCACCAGACGACAGCTCGGGGCTGCCGAGTGCTTGGACCTTCCCTTAGGACTTGCTGCTAAAGTGGACGCTAGTTTTTATTCCAGGCTTGGTTTCTTCTTGTTAAAAGATGACCTTGGGCTCMCCAGGAACCCCCAAAATGTGGATGAGTTGCCACTACTGCTCTGGGAGAACCCACATGWTTGTCCCTATCTCACTACCCCGGAAATGTGCCTGGAGGAATGGCCCCAAACACGGGGATTTGTAGGGATGGGGAGAAAGGGGCCACTCGCCCTGTGGGGTGTCATCTATCCCACACCCAAGGGTGGGGTACAACCCAAGGCCTCCCAGCCCTTCTCTCCTGGAGCACCGGGCTCAGAGGGKGTGTGTGTGTGTGWGTGAGTGTGTGTGTGTCCCCTGCAAAGCACTTTAGGGTCCCCCAGACCAGGTGTCCTCGTTGGGCACTGGGCCAGGCCTGCGTTATCCCACTCATCCCATGGAGATGTGGGAAAGGAGCCCGTGGCTGCACTGGGGAGTGTCCCAGAGTGCAGGTCTGTGCCCTGGTTCTGTCAACCTTGTCACCGCACGGAGCTGAGTGCTGCAGGATTTGTCCCGTGGGATTTGTCCCACAGCCCCGCCGGGAGCACTCYGGGGTGGCAGGTGATACCTGTGGGATTCCTTTGGGTTTTCTTTCCTGTTTTTTTGGGAACTACAAGTGCTGACGGGGCCAAATCCCTGCGCCCTGGGGAAGAGCTCGCTGCTCGCTCCGGGCTTGGAACGGCTTTTAAATGAAAKGAAAATAAACCCAGGATTTTCTAGCACGTTGTTGTCTCTCACCAGTGTCCCCACAGCAGTGCCAGGCTGGGAACCCCAAAACCCGGCACCCCAAACTCTGCTACCCCAGTGCCCCTTCAGGATGTGGGAACAGCCTGTCCTCTSGTGGGGACAAGGGGACAGAGACGCTCCCGACAGGGGCCACTGTCCAGGGAGGTTCCTGCACTAGATGGCAGCAGAGACCGCGGGATGTGACACGCGCGGGTGGCGGGGCCACCCTGGGGACAGCGGCGCCAGGGGAGGGACCTGAGCGGCAACCCCACCCTGCTGGGCTGGGCAGGGTGAGCCTTCCTCTTTCTCCTCCTCCTCACTGCACATCCACAACCCAGTTCCACCCCTTTCCCMGGCCTGGCCCAGGCAGCAAAATGCATGAAAATGGCCCAGCTTGAAAGCCAAGTGGAGACAGGAGTGGTGTCACCCGTTTTGGGGGGAGATTTAGCACCCTGGGGTGCCTGGGGGGTGATCTGGTTTCTTCAAAGCCCTGGAGTTAYGGGGCTGTCGGAGCTTTTGATTCCATGGGTGAAGTGGAGGATGAAAGGCGCTGTCCTGTCCCTGCCGGTGACTCACGCAGCTCATTTCCCCAGTGTAAGTGGGTTTTGGGGTTGTTTTTCCAACAAACAAGTTGGTGTTCAGTGGGTCCAACCTCAAAGTGGGGCTCTTGACCCCAAGAAACAGGTTTAGAGGTTGAGGACTGGGAAGATTTTGGTCTGATGTGCCCAGCCTGGTGCTTTCTGAGTGCTTCACAGCAGGTGTGTGGGCTCCTCGGGCCGAGTCCGAGCCAGGAACATGGTCTCCACTCAGGACTCTGGTTAAAGCCAGTGGTGGGACAAGCCATGGGTGCAGTGATGTGRAGGAGGTTTGGAGGAGCACTGGGATGAGCCCCCACTGTTTGGGGGATCCCTGCTGCCGGGATGTGGTTGCAAGGCTCCGGTTGTGTTTCCCAGACGGTGTCTGCCCGCCTKGCTCAGTGCGTGTTGGCTGTCCCGGTGATGCCCTGCTCGAGCCTGTTTGCTTTTCTTTGTGTAAAGAAACTCCACGTAAAAGCCTCGGGTGCAGGGAATGTCTCTGGACGCTCACCTGCTGGCTGGGAAACAGGAATGAGGAGCACAGGGTGATGCTGGATGAGCACAGCCCCTGCCCTCAAATCCCCCTGCTGCTCCCCCAGTCACACCCACTGTCCAGTCTTCCTCCCTCCCCAGCCCAATCCAACCTCTAAAAATAGGATTGAGAGATTAAATCAGCCAAGGCAGCACTGCCAGACGGACGGGTCAGAGCCCTCGTGCCGTGACACTCCTCGAGGCAGCAGGAGCCACGGCATTGGCAGGGATACCAAGGACSGGACGACGCTGGCAAATGCAGGATTTGGTCTGAGATTTATTCAGGATTTGGGAGTGGCAGTGACATTGCTCTGGCAAAGCCCCTCAGAGTCCAAAGTGCATCCCCTTGGGCGAGCAGCTCCATCCCGTTCTGGCTCCAGCCGAGCGGGTTTTCCAGGAAGGGCTGGTGCTGGAGGCTGCTCTCCTGCCCAGGCAGTGTTAGGGAGGTGGGGGAACGACCCCAACCCTTGTCAGGCCCCCGAGATGCCATGGGGGTGTTTGGGGCAGTCTGGTTTCTTGCCTTCTATCTGGAACAAGGGAAGTTGAAGCCCTCCATCCCCTCGGTGCTGTGCTGCTGCAAACACCGGTGCTGAAGAGCTCCAGGTTAAAAACAATCCTTCCCCCTCTTCCAAGGGCTGTATTTAACCCGGATTTCCCTGATCAGGTCGGGGTGTGGTTGCTCTGCCACCTGAGCAACCTGCTCTTTGCTTCTCACCAGGTGAGAGATTATTCCTTATCCTGCAACGACATCTCAGTTTAATTTTTATTTTCTGCACTGCTAAGCCTGTCTTGAAGGAGAAGATCTGCTCTGGGATCCCAGCCATCATCCAGCACAGGAGGGGAARTCTTTCAGTTAGAAGTGCATTAAGGACTTCAAGGAGCCCGCAGTTATCTTTGGCTTTTATACCTCAAACTCTGTCCTTTTGTTCTCCCTGGTGTGTTTTTTTTTTCTCTCAAGTAACAGAACTGGTTTTGTGTTAGAGCAGCGACCGCCGTGTGCAGCAACGTTAACGAGGGTTGGGGAGCACTGACGAACCCTCCCTGCACAGAGACGTCCTAAAATCCTAATGAAAAACCCCAAACTTCAAAGAGTGAGTGTYGCTTTTCATCTCAATTAAGTTTCCTTTCCTAGGATTGGCTTTCTCAGCTTCCTGTTAATCTTCCAGCAGTTCAGAGTCAGGTTTTMATTTACAATAAGAACAAGTAGGGACGGGGGACCAAAAAAACCCATCACTGTATGGCCTAGGAGCACCTGGCTGATGAAAACTGAATTTGTTTTTGCCCTGTTCTTAAATTAATTGTAGCATTTCCTTTGGAGTCTCACCTTTTTGCAGTGTCATCTCAATGTAAGGTTTTCAGGAGTACAAAATCCTGGCTGCTAAATCCTAGACTGCTCCAACACTGTTAGCAGGAGGCACAAATGGGAGCTGTCCATGATAAAGCACTTGGGGGCTTGGGTTTAAAGGGCATTTGCTAAACCTGGTTTGGAAGGACAGTGCCTGGAGCCAACTAAAGCCACTTAATGAGGGTGTGATGCCTGCTGGGCACAGGTGGAGATGTCTTTTTAGCAACCTGTTTTGCCACAGCCATGACTGTAGAAATTTACTATGGAGAGGGTTTTTTTGAAAGCAAAGTGACTTTTGTCATTACAAGTTGAAAGGACGGTGATTTCCAGAGGAGAATAAGGCTTTTCCTGGACGGGGTGGGGTGTTTGGGGGGGTGTAGCCATGCTAGAGGGGTTACATTCTTTTTCTTTGGGACAATCCTGCGCATGGGCATCTCCCTCAGGCACTGGGGGTGCTGCCTCGTGGACCAGGAAGGCAGTTTTTTGGGGGCTGGAGGCACATCCCCATCACTTYTGTGCCAGTTTTGTGATGAGAGCTTTCCACTCTGATCTCTTCTGCGTAATGTAGGCAGGGGTRAGGAGCTGCAGCAGAGGCTCTGTCCGCCCCTGGAAGTACCCGTGGCACAGAGCCTCAGCGTTGCAGATCACATACATCCCACAGTCGTAGCTGTTCTGCTGCGCCGGCGCCTTCTCCTCCACAAAGGTGGCTTTGCTCCCTCTTTTTCCCAGAAARGCCTCCAGCTTTCCCGCCACTTGCTTGGCGTGGACAGAGTTGCATTTACTGTGGGAATCGTAATGGGCAAAGCACTTCTTGTCCCTGAAATAAACCAGCAAGCTCCAGTGGGTGCCCCCAGCCGCCTGGCTGGAGTTGTCGTTGATAGGCAGGAACACCAGCTCCTTGCCAAGAAGGTCCAGTGGCTGGAGGAATATGGCTATTTCTTCCTGATTAAGGGCACACTTGATGAACTGAGCCACCTCGGGGCTGATGAAACAAACGCAGTGGCCAAACTCCTGGAACTGCTGGTTGGCGAAGTACTCGAAGGCGAAGCCGATGATGTGGTCGTTGAGCCAGTTCGGGGGCTCCAGCAGGGCCACGTCCGACTGCCTCAGCAGGCTGTCCATGTAGCTGAGAACCACGGGATCCATCCTGCGCCGCTCCGGGGAACCGCCAGAGCTGCAACACACAAAGGGAGCACGAGTTAGGAGTTGGATGTGGCACAGCCCAACTACCATCCCGAGTTCCTTCTCAGCAGCAGTGACCAAGAGCCCAGGATTCCCGGATGGATGTTTGAAGGACCATGAGCAGATGGAGAACACACAGTGCTGGGTTGAGCARCAATCTGCTGTGGCTCCAGTGACATCGGCCTTTCATCCCAAGGATCTGAACTTCACAGCAAAGGAGTTTCAGAGCAGTTCCTGCACAGAAACYAGGAGTGATCCAGGAGAAGTCAGGTGGTGTTTGGGCATCTCAGTTTTATCTGTGCAGTGACAATCACTGGAGTTGTTTGCATTGCTGGTAATCCTAAATAAAAGCCTTTTTGGGCTGTCTGACAGACATACAGTCCCTTTCTCTGAGCACAGAGTGCCCCAGCTCYGTGCCAGAGGCATGACCTGTTCCAGGAGAACCTGCTGGGTCACTAGCACAGGAGACACAGCCGTGAGTAAGGAGTAACAAAGCAAGACGAGATCACAAACAAACCAGTTCCTGACCGTGGGAATCTTTAGGACAACTCTCTACCTAGCCAGAGTAGGATTTAGGAGATTTAACATAGGGAAATTTGATTTAAAGCCCCTATATCCACCCTGGTTTTCCTTTAGTTCTGACACTCCGCAGCCCTTCCGGGCTTCTCAGTACTGTGATGCATCCTCAGCCTCCAGCTCCTTTCCTGGCCAGGACAGGGCTGAAAACACCACAACTTGAGACAGCAGTGAYGTGGAGCTGGTTTGGCCTCACCCTTCCCTCCTGTGTCCCAAAGACAGAATGAAAACATCTTCAGATTTCTGAAAGCTTCGTGTGAAAGCGCAGAATGATAAGATCACTTTAATATGATTCACTATAAATAAGTCACTAATTTTCCATCATGATAAGAACAAATGAAGCAAATGGAGTATTCTGCTAGGAAGAAATAGATTCACACTTCTTTTTGTGAATCATGAGGAATAACCCTTCCTGGCCCAGGATGCATAAATTAAGGGATTTATCTCTCAAAAATCTTGGCAAGGTTCCCCTGGCATGTGACAGGCAAGGAACAGAATGGATGAGCCATGGCCCGTGTGTAACACGTCGGAAGGAAGGGCCGAGCTGAGTGTTYGGGGCATGAAACAGCCCGTGAGTGTTTGTGTGTGCCTGGTGGATCCCGGAGATGCCGAGCAGCAGGAGTCACCAGAGGAAGGGAGCAGCCCTTGTTTATGCTGAACCAAACACAATGGCATTTGGACACGCTTCCAACCTTAATGAGCACCTCGTGGTGCAAACCCCTGTAGTATAAAACAAGAAATCMAAACGGAATCCCAGTAACTCCTCAGCCTGCCTGAATATAGGCTGGTTTAAAGATCTGGACACCCTCCAAACACCCTGTTTGGGCACCCTGTTTTAACACAGGCACTGCTCAAATATTTCTTGTACGTGCCCATAAAATGCCCCAAATTTTCCTTTACGTCCTGTTTTTTCTGCTTCATCTTCTGGAGATGCAGAAGTCCAGCCAAYAGCTTTCCACTCCAGTCCAAATGGGATTAAGGGCGAGAAAAGCGCGTGTCCCGTGCTCTGTTAATTTTCCACTCTGCAGAAACATCGCTTTTTTTTTTTTTCCTGTCAGGACATTTGGCAGGTTCCTCCAGTCAGGAAGGAGAATGGTTCTACCAAGTGTTTAATTGCCACTAGCTACTACTTTTAATTTTATTGCCATCTGGTATTTGTGAAACTGCCTGTGGGTTCTGCAGGATGACTCACCAYGTGCAGCTCCAAGGAAAACCCTTGGGAGGCTCCCTCAGAGCTGGGTCAGGTAAGCGGTGAGGACTGAAACAACGTAGTAGGGCTGTTAAAAGCCACCAGAGAGGTGGCTTTGTTTGGGAGAACCTCCCATTAGAGCTACAGATGGATCTGCAGAGGAGCCAGGATGTGGATCCGAGCCTCTGAGGGGTGTTGAGATCCAGCAGCTCTGCTCAGCCACAGCCAGGACTCTTTCTGAAGGCTCAGGCACACTCTGTTCAGGAGTTTTCATAAAAATAGGAATAAACACTGGCGCAGGCCTGGAACATTTGTTGGAGGTTGCCAACAAGTGTCTTGCTGGTTCATTTTATTTGCATATTATTAACTGGAATTTGTGCAAGCTCCCTGGAATCCTCAGCTCCTCCCAGGGACGTCAGCAGCCCCATTTCCAGTGCTGAGACAAGAACAGCGGAGAGAGAAAGGATTTAAATACAAACACCATCATTTCATTTACAGATTTGAAGACAGTGCTGAGTTGCATCAATAGGGCAAGAGGTCAAGTTTCCCTCACTGAAGTTATAATAATTTAACAAATGAGCTGCTGCTGTTAGCAGAGTTTGATCCACAAACAGATGGAGCTTCTTTGTGCCTGGACACAAAGCAAAGCCTGTGTTTTCCAACACTTGGCCAAAGGACACCCAAACCTGTCATTTTCACACCATTAAAGACAACAACCCTCTGCAGGTAATTGCTTGAGAGCCAGTAACTGAGTGTAAAAATGCAGTGACAGAGCAAAGGGAGCATGATTTAAGGATGAATCAGATTCCTTAAGTCTATTTTAATAAATTAAAGGTGCTAAGAATCTCCACAGTGAATAGTTTAAGATGACACATCACTGGAGTCCTGTTCCTAATTTAAAAAACATGGAGGCAAACAAGAAAACATCACCTGGAAGACAAAAACTCCAGACTTTACCAGGGAACGGGAGGAGGGACAGAGAAGGTTTTGTCTTTTAAAGATCAAGAGTAAAAGACCCCATGGTTTAACCCCCAGAGTATTCCCTTTGTCCAGAAATACGGGGTTTGGATACCATGTCTGGATATCTGTTAATGGAGCAAGATCAGACRAGGAACAATAATTTCTATTCACCAATGGGAACTGGGCTGGGTGACACCTGAATCTCTGGACTTCTGTGTTTCCTGACAGAGCCAGAGTAGAAACTCAAGGAAAAATAAACTACTCAACTAGAACAGAAGCATAGTTGTCTCCTTTTTTGTTCARTATAAACAATCTCTCTGTAGCCTTAGATTATAATCCCTGTATGGTCAAGAACATCCCACCTCTGCAGGTTCAACAGACCCTGAGTGCTGAAATGAGAGGAAAATATGCCCAAATGCCCAAATTTCTCTGTTCTGGACAAACTGCCCAAACCAGAGACTCTGCAACCAAGCTCAGAACCTCTCCTGGTATCACAGCATCTCTCAGGGTACGAAACAGAATCACAGGAACAACACCCAGTGGTTTTTGCTCCCCACGATGGGGTTGGCCAAAACCTGGAATTTAACAGGAAAAAACCCCTCAGTGCCCAGAACGCGCAAGGATGTCCCGGTGGGATGGGTATGATGGGATCCCACCTCAGATCCTTMACCCGAACGCCGATGCACTCACCTCTCACCTCCTACAGAAAGGGTCTAATCCAGGCAGCAGGRGGAAGAACGGGAAGGGAATATCGTTTACCTGAAAGACCTGGAGGTCACAGGAATTTGGTCAGGAGTGGAAATTCGCTCAGAGGAAGGGATTCGGGGTGTCTCCCGCCCCACGGGAGGAGGAGCTGACCCRGAGTTTGACCCCGAGCGTCTCTGGGCGCTCAGGTACCGGGATCAGCGCTCGCTCATCCCAACGCTGCTTTCCTGGGAAYAAACGGGAATTCCGGGGCCAGGAGAGGGTGCACCCGGCCGGGAGCAGGGTCAGGGCCTGGCCGGGGTGGGAGCAGGGACCACCCACAGCACCGCGACACACCTCCACTCCTCCTTTACCTATTTTACCCTTTTYCCCCTTAAAATGCTCGCTGAAGCTTCTGGGCCCGGGGCCGACCGGCACCAATCCCCGACGGCTGCGGCCGGCGCGACCCCCGAACACGGCGCCCAGCCGCTTTACCGGCACCGTGTCCCGCCGTGTCCCCCGCTATTCCCGCCGCGTTCACCTTCATCCCCCGTGTCCCCTCCCGTGTCCCCTCCCGTGTCCCCCCGGCTCTCACCCTCCTCCTCATCGCCCGTCGCCGCCCGGTTGCCCCGCGCTGCCGTAAAGCGGCCGCAGCCGCGTCGTAACGACAGGGGGCGTGTCCAGGGGGCGTGTCCGTGGGCGTGTCCACGGCGGGCGGGGCGGGGCGGGGCTGTGCGCGCGCCTCCCGCCCCCTCCCTTCCTCCTCCCTCCTCCGGGCGGGCGCGCGAGGGCGGCGCGCGCGCGCGAGCAGTCGGGCAGCGCCCGGGCGGCGGCGGGATCGCCCGTCCGTGCCCCCCTCCCCGGGACCCCTCTCGGCACCGAGCCCTGGGACCCCYGGACCTGCCACAGCAGAGATACCGCTCAGCGCCGACCCCCGGGACCCTCCTCGGCACCGACCCTTGGGACCCTCCCTTCTCAGCACCGACCCTCCTCAGCACAGACCCCCGGGACCTGTTTTCAGAACCGACCCCTCTCAGACAACGACCCTCAGGATCCTTCTCGGCGGCGGCGGCTGCGGCTGCGGGCGAGGGATGCGCCGCGCCCCGACACCCAGGTGAGCGGTGGCGGCGGAGCTGAGCGGGGCGGGGGCCTCCGGTGCGCGCGTGCGGTGGGAGCGGCGGGGCGGAGGTCGTGAGGGGAACCCCGCCGGAGCATCGCGGGGCCGGCGGGAGCCATTGTTCGGCGGAGGAGGGCGAGTCCCCCCGGTGGTGTGGGGTGCTCTCCCCATGAGCCGCCCCCGGTGTGTGCTCGGTGCGGGGCGGCCCCGCGTCCCCCTCATGCGCTGGGTTTCACCGCCCGGTGCCGCTCACCCCTGTCGGGGGTGGGTTGGACACGCAGAACATGGAAAAACCAGCCCGGGGGGAGGAGATTTACCTCAGTGGCGTCCCCAGTGTCCCCGGTGGTGCCGTGGGCTGGTGGCTTTCGTGTGGCAGTAGCCCTGAGGCCACGGCGATGGGCATCGCGACAGGAGCTGGTGGCGGTCGCCCCGTGTCTCCGGCAGCCCGGTGCGCCATTCCCGAGTATCCATCAGCAATTCCCACCCGTCGGAATGAGGTATTCCTGGTTTTTAGCAGAGTGTTGGACTTCACGGCAGTTCCCACCCTGGCACGTAGGACCTCTGTGGGTGCACTGCTCCTCCGAAGGTTAAAACAGTCGATATTTCTTTCTGGAATTTTCCTAAATGTAGCCAAAACGGCCTTTGCTTTATCCCAAAAAAAATAACCCTCCTCCGACCTGCGCTAGGACCTGCCGTGAGTTCGGAGCCGGGCGTTTTGCCGCCCTTCTGCTCCTGGATCGGCTTCCTCCTCCTCCATTTACGTTTTCCTATGCCCCGATCAAGCCGAGCTTGATAAAGTGGGGAACGTGAGCTCAGCAGAAATCATGGCTTTCCCATCCCTCGCTGCAGCGCGGTCCCTGCCCATCGGCGGATCAAAAAAATAATCACGTAGCGGCAGAGGAAGGAGATTTGCTGCTACGGGAGGAAAACCAGCGCGGTGTCTCGCTCAGTCGATAACCAAGCGCTGTAATAAATCGCTCTGTAAATAGGTTGTTASGTGGAGAATTGGGTTTCTGGCCGGCTCAAGTGCTTTCCTGACTCTTTTCCCACGGGACTGCTAGGAAATGACAGGGGAGCGTTGTGTTCCCGTGGAGAGGTGCGTGGATGCTGCGGTGACGGGCTGTGAATCCTTAAGCCGGACCCYACAAACCTGAGCTTATCCGTGCACGCAGCAAACTCCGGCTGGGTCAGAGACTGCATTATCCCTGRAGAGCATCATCTCTTCAGCCCCTCGCCCTGCAGTCACGCGATTTCCCCTATGCCCTTGAGTAAACTCACTCATTTCAATGGCTTTTCTCATTTTTACATTTTATTTATTAAAATAAGAGGCTTTTCTATGCCTTTTTCCATCACGAAGGCKCTCCCAGCCTTTGCCCTTCCTCCTGGCTGTGATTTTTGATCCCCAAGACTGCTTTGGAAGCTTTTAGTCAGGCTGCTGATGGCAGGGAAGGTAATTGAGCAGCCCCGGCACAAAACTAATAAGCTTTTGTTTCCTGGGCTATCGATGATGATGCAACTTCATATTTATTTATTTATTTATYGCAATCGATGCAATAAATCAGGGTGGCTTTAGAGATTTTTTTCTCTGTGTTGAAAGGCCCATCAGCAGCACTTGGAAAAAGCTTTGTTTGAATTCATATATTTAAAATATAGATCAGTTTTGCAGAGTAATTGTTCTGTGCATCCACTGCTTCTGTTACAATTTATAAACTCCACTTTTTTACCTTTTTTTCTGTCTTATTTTGGGTGAGGAAGCTGCATTTTAAGATTTAAGGTATCAGATGCCTGACGTGACATCTGCTGTTGCAGCGTCTTTCACAAACACTGATACTAAAGCACACAGACAATCAAACCTTTGGGATCCTTGGCTAGAAAAAATTGAATGCTTTATGCTTAAATTATTTTTGTATGKGATGTTTATGATGAGTTTTGTGAGCATTGATCAGGTTTGCCGAAAAACCCCTGAGAATGTGAGGTTGAGATCAGGCACTTGGGAAAGGTGAAACCCAAGTTACCTTAATTTAGCTCGTGTTGAGGTATGGCTGGACTTGAAATCCTCATCTTATGCTTGATTTCTGGGAGAACAGTATCTGGCTCTGGGTGGAAGAACTGATTGCTCCTCCACATGCCCACAAGTCAGTAGGGTGAGTACTGGCAGCACAGGGACAGTGCTGGTCCCTCCACTGGTTTTGCAGCTTGGTACCACCGAGCTGAGAGGAAGAGCAGCATTCGCCATCACAGCTGTGGGACCACATGGATCCTGTAATTCTGGTGCTGAAATTCCTCGAGTCTGGGGAAACTGGGAGCAAACTTCTGAAGGGGGATATTCTCTGTCCCTCTGCAGCTTACTCTGCACCGAGTAAGCTGCAGAGGGACTCTTCATCAGAAACTGCAGTTCCAAGGGGAATGGCTTCCCACTGCCAGAGCACAGGGTTAAATGGGATATTGGGAAGAGATGGTTGGCTGAGAGGGTGGTAAAGCCCTGGCACAGGGCAGCTGTGGCTGCCCCTGGATCCCTGGAAATGTCCAAGGCCGGGTTGGACAGGGCCTGGAGCCCCTGGGATAGTGGAAGTTGTCCCTGCCCATGGCAGCGGGTGGAACAAGGTCAGCTTTTAAGATCCCTTCTAGCCCAAACTGGTCTGGGATTCTGTCACTCAAGCATGGCTGGAGAGTTCTTTGGGTRGTTGGTTTTGGTGAGTGTAGTGTGGCCGTATTCTGCCCAGTTCTAGTTCTCGCTCTAAACCGTGCAACTTTTGAACTCAATTCCTTTAAAAATACATTTATGAGGGAGCAAACAAGGTCATTGAACCACTGGAAGCATCTTAGCCGGTCAAACTTGATTTCAGAAATTCCTGCGTCCCCTTGGTTTGTAAATAAAAAGGGAGTTTGCGCTCCCGCTTGCACGCGAAACACCAGGGTTGAAGGCACGTTYGTTGTGTTGTTGATGAAGCTCCAGCCTGGTCCTGGACTCTGGCCCTGAGATGGGCTGGGTGCAGGTTTCAGCTTTGAAACATGGTACTTTTTTGTGTTGAGGTTTAAAAGAGCATCTAAACTTCTCAGGCTTTGTCCTGCGTGCCGACGTTTGCTTCACTTCCTCTCRAGAGAACGGGATTTCTCCCCTCTCGACAAAGTAAACATGAGCATAAATATTTAAAGGATCACGGCTCAAGTTTGCAAATTGGAGACTTTCTCTAGCATTCCTTTGGACAAAAGCAGTAGCGTCGGAGATTTGGGATCTGTCTGAGTACTTCCCTGCTCTGAGAAGCTTGGTAATTCTTTGGGTTTGRTACTGCAAAACACTCCACTGTGCTTGCAGGTTAGATGGTTGGGATTGCCACAAAGGTTGGGTTTCTGACAGAAATGTAAGGCTGAAATGCTGTTGATGGGATATCTATGGATCATTGGAATTGAGATTGTTTTTGTGGAATTTCATTTTCTTTTGCACCAGCCAAATTTTTCCATAGGTTTTGGGTATACATGTGAAGGCACAGGTGTTCAGAGTTGAGACTATAGAAACCAAACATGTGAAACTCATGCCAGATAATGGATAAAAACAGGAAAAAAGGGAAATGGAATAGTCTTTGTTTTCTTTGTGTGACTCTTTAATGTTCAATCTTTTGCCGTGTTTGACAGGTCAAAACCATGGTGACATATGTCTTACTCCTGTGATTGTGTTGATGTCTTAACCTCTGTGCCTTGGAATTAAACTTTTAAAAGTGGAACTCAACAAACCAYTTGACCTCAGAAAATACAAAAATTCAGGAGTGAAGGCTTTGAGTAGGGATTTTCAGAGTTGAACTAATTTTGGTGTCTGTTTTTAAAATATTATCAAGTGTTGCAGTTTTGTTAGACTTCGTGGTAGCATTGTTCTGTCCATGGGGAGGAATCTATGGAATCTTTTCCACAGGTACCTGTGAAAAAGTCTTATAGGTGAGGGTGAGAGTTCCATGTCTTTGCCATAAATGCTTTTTATTCCTAACACAAGCCCCATGATTTTAATCCTGCCTCTGATAGAGGGATGTAGGATTGCTTGGGTCAGAAYGGAACTCAAGATGTCACTTGGTCCAAAATCCTGCTCCCAGCAGGATYGTCTGCAAAGTCAGAT